TGTTCAACTGTGATGTCAGCAAACTAACCAGCTTTAGTTTATGTTTGCCAACTTAACAATTTACTTAATACAGATGGTCAGTGGATTATGGTCGACATAACAGTTGATTCAGTTCGTTTTGTTGTGTTTATATAGACCTAATGTAGAAAGCCCTTTTTTATAGTGCTAACTCAAATCTTAGTGAGCTTTGTGAACATACTTTAGAAGTAATTGTCTGTGAGGATTTTAATACCATGTTAAATGAATCTATTGACAGAGCGGGTACTAATTTACATAATTATCACCCCAAATCACGAGATAGTATTAATAATTAATTTAATGTCCACTTGGGATGCAACGGACGTTTGGCGATTACGCAATCAGATTCCTGGCGAAGGGGAACAAGAGCTAGTCGAATTGATTATATTTTGATCCATTTCTCCTTTGTAGCAAAGGTTACTATGGCAACTATAGGTGAACGGTTCCGTTCTAACCATTGTTTGATATCTGTCGGTATTGAAACTAGTAGGGTATTGGCACTTTAATACTTCACTTTTGAGTGACAGTGAATTTCTCAACCAGTCGAAGCAATTTGTTACGGAATTTTTTGAAGTTAATATTGGGACCTTGACTCCACACAATGTTTGGGATGCTTTTAAATGTGCATTTAGAGGTCATTGCATAATTGCAGTTCATATAAATGTAAGTAATATAAACAAAAGGAAAAGAAACTCCTTGACGAAATCAATAAATTACAAAATTTAATTGACTTGGTAGATATCCCTAACATCGTCAGTTTGAAAGAACTCGCAATAAAACAGGATGAACTACAATCATATTATTCAATGAAAACAGCTGGTCTCATTATCCGTGCGAAAGCACGCTGGATGTTAGCTGGGAACGGCCAACTAAGTATTTTTTTTAATTTTATTCAAAGGAATTGTTCTCGAAATCTAAACAAATTATCACTCACAAATTATATTCTTTGGATGGAGAAGTTGAACCATCTTAGAAAGATTATGGTGATGTTTTCCCCGTAAATTACAATTTTGTTAGTGAATCGAAAAAGTCATGAGGGTATGATCACAGTGTCCGAGTTACGTAATGCAATAAATTCTTTTCCACCTGGGAAATCACAGGTTTAGATGGTATTCCGGTGGAAGTTTATAAGTGTTTTTACACAGTTAGCCCCAACATGCTTTGTTTTGAGTATTCATATGAATGCATTCAACTGCCATCGTCACAAAAAACCGGGCTACTAACTTTGCTTCTCAAAAAGGATGCCCACTAACTCTTTTGTGCTGTGATGTCCTTCTCCTCGTGTGAAACATGTGATCTCAGATATAATTAATGAAGACCAAACTGTGTTCATTCATAGTCGATTTATTGCACACAATATTCGAAGGTTGATGGAAATTATTGATACGTATGAAAACATGATGAACCGGGATTGGTTCTTAAAGCTGATTTTGAAAAAGCATTTGATAAGTTAAGATGGGATTTAATTATAAATAGTTTAGAATATTTTAATTTTGGTCAATCATTTGTAACCTGGGTGACACTCGTGTACCGGATATTAGTAGCCGTATATTCAATAATGGTAATATTTCAATGCAGTTTGGTGTTAGACAGGGTTGCCCCATGCCACCTTACTTGTTTATTATTTGTGTTGAGCTTTTGGCCAATAGAGTGAGACGCTGTGACAAAATTAAAGGTTTATATACAGGTCCCATAGAGAATAAGATCTCTCAATATGCGGATGACACCAATTTCCCAACGTATCCTTCCCGTGAATCACTTAACTTGTTGCTAAGTATTTTGTCTAATTTTGCAATTATTCCTGGGTTGAAACCAAATTATGATAAAAGTCGTGAGGCAGGGGTCTATAAAAATACAAACTTTACAATTGAAACATCTCATACTGTAACCTGGGCTGACGGTTCTGTTGATGTTCTTGGTACATCTTCCTGGTGATTATTCACAAATAACTACATTTTAATTATCGCATTGAAAAAGTGAGAAAGTTGTTGCAGCCATGGAAGGGCATTGGTCTGGCGGTATATGGTAAAATAATGATTATAAAGTCTTCGGCGATTTCGCAATTTGTTTATGTCTCTTCCCTCCCCGGACGCAGCTTTTTTTTTAAAAAAAACAAACATGATAATATAGTTTTCCGGTTTTTATAGGGAGGTGAACGTGATTGGGTTAAAAAAGACGATGTCTACAAACCATGTGATAAAGGTGGCCTCAACCTAACCAATTTAAGAGAATTCAATGCCGAGACTTTATTGTAATACAAAATCTTTCTGTAGTGTATATTACTGGATCAATTTGGTGGTATTTTAATCTTTTTCGCAAATTTTGAAAAAAATACCGTATTACTTTCGACCAATTACCCATCGCTTTTTTGAAAGAAATTATTTATCCATGGCTGCAATATAACTGTATCCTAATTGATAAAATAGATAACATTTTGCAGAAAATAATTTGGAACAATTCGAATGTGCCCATCAACAGGGACCCTATTGTATGGAAACAATTTATAGATGCTGGTATTATCTTTATCAATGATTTATTTGGTGAGACTTGTACATTAATGAAATATGATGAATTTATTGTAAAGTTTGGTAAGTTATGTACACATCACGTGTATAATTATTTGGTATCAGCCATTCCATCTACTTGGAAAAAAAACAAAGCCGAATAATGAAAAGATTTGTACGCCAAATGGTTAACAAGTGATAAAATTAACACGTATTTATTGAATTTGTATAGTTCAAATTATATCTCTTAGCATATTAAACACTATTATCATGACATTCCTGACTGTAGCATTCCGTGGAAAATAGTGTTCTCACTTCCTTACAGGATAACAATGGATGCCAAATTAAGATATTTTCAATACAAGCTTATTATAAAATTGTTGCAATCAAATCGTCTTCTTCACTCATGGAATATGATTGATGATCCTGTATGTACGTATTGTAAGGAAGTAATAGAGGACTATTTTCATCTCTTCTGGAATTGCGTTTTTATTTCAGAATTCTGGTCATGCGCATTACATACCAACGTATCATTAAATTAAATGTATCCTTGGTGATGTCGAAGACCATGCCAATATATTATTTAATGCATTTCTCCTGATGGGTCCATACTAAATCTATCGTTGTAAATATTGGGAAATAGTATCAACATGAATTGTCTCAAGCAGTATGTTAAATCTGTGAATACTATTGAAAATCAAAGAGAATTGGGGTGCGTTTGAATAATACTTTTAACTAGAACGATCACTAGATGTCAACTCTTTCTCCCTTTACCTGTACATACTAGGTATTCTTTTCTTTTTTCTGTACAATGTAAGAAAAACAAAACAATTTACTTGATATTATGTTTCGAAATGTTACATATAAATATATGACAAAACTCGACCACAACTTCAGAAACTTTATTTTGCCATATATTGGTGTGTAAAAAGTAATTGATCACACCCCTATGAAACCCTAATTCTAAATATTCCATATATTGGAGCAGTGAAATGGAGTGACAGCATATGTGTGGGTTAAGGTGGATATAGCTTCACTATTACACCAATAATTTTGTAAATTTTACTTTGTACTCTCATATACACAAATTTATATCGATTAAAATCCTTGGCAAGTGTAAAAAAGCACGTAATCTGTCCGGGATCAGAATCAATTAACAATCACGTCGATACTGAAACCATCGTAGAGGAATGACATATCCTAAAATCCAACATACCTAATTATTCCCTGACTATACTTATTGCGTAATATGGATTTTTAATTTAATATTGGTTTTAACAATGGGATGACTCGCATATTGGTGTCTCCGCTGTTTTTAGGTAAAAAGGTGGACTCCCAATCCTGCTTTCTAGCCATCTAAAACCAGGTTTAAGGGTGGAGAAGATCAATCGATCTGTAATTCTAGCTATAGCTATACTAATTTTGTGTGCCACAAAAGGGTGGTTTTACTTGGAGGGTCTATGATCCATGTCACAGTGACTCTTATTCGAATACTAACACCATAAATAGCACATACTTGGAGGGCTGACATTTTCTGCACGAAAAAAGTCATTCTAATATAAATGCTCGTACAAACCAGGTCCCTGACTGATGTATGATTGTAAGGGCATGATGTGTGTTAAATTTCATAGCCAGGAACACTAACTCTAGGTAGTTGATCTAGGTATTCTTTTTTTACTTTGTAACATTTCTATACATTTTCAATACATAACAAATCCTATATGTACATCAGTTCCTTTATATAGTTATTTTTTTAAAATAATAAATAGATCACGTCCAGTTTATATTTACCGCTTTTGGTTTTCTGTTGTTTACTTAATTGGTCATGGTTTGTTATTCTTTACTGATTGGACATGGTTTATATTATTTACCAACTAGATATGGTTTACAGTGGTTGACTGTGTTTGAAGTTTCCTAATTCACCAACTGAACATGGTTTTCCTATTTTCACAAGGGTTTGACTATGTTCAACCTGTAGAATTTTGAATTACTGTGAACTACTAATGTTTTAGTATTGGCAAAAGTTAACAATCAATATTTGTGTATAATGGTTAACAGATATTTTTTGTTAAAAGTTGAATGCAGTGTTGATGGGATGAGCCGCAATCCTATAGCCATGAAGAAAATAAGTGAAATTACAGGGGTTAACGTTGTCATGGGAACCGGATACTATCTTGCAAGGGTTCATCCACCAGATATGGACCACCAAACTGTGGAATTAATTTCAGATAAGTTAATTTCTGAAGTTTATGAGGGAGTTGATGGTAAGCAATATTGTTTTTTTTTAATTTCATTATGTGTAATGTGTTTGTCATATTTCATGACGTTCAGTTCCGAACTGGAATGACATCAATATTTCTAGGAGGCTGATATATTTATTGACACAAGTAATCATTACCCTACAAGTTATAAAGCAATATTGTTCACGTATTGATGACCATGAGGTATAATGTTGGCATAATAGTTAATTACACTACTTCTTTAAAGGTGGTATATGTGCTGGAATCATTGGAGAATTGGGTTGTTCTACCAATCTGGCAGAAAATGAAATTAAAGTATTAAAAGCAGCTGCAATAGCACAACGAGAAACTGGGTTACCTATATCCATTCATCCAGGTATGTCAGAGAAACATGGGGGTATATATCCATGTATCACCCTTTGAAGTTACAACATTTAGTGAATAAATGCAATTTTCTTTTGAAATACATAGTTTCATGGTAATTAACTTGATATTAATGAGAATGTAATTTTAATCACACAGGATATTCAACTGAATCTCCATTCCAAATAGTGGACATTCTCAAATCAGAAGGTGCAGATCTGAGTCGAGTTATCATTGGTCACATTGACAGAGGAGTCATCTCCATACAAGCGATGATTGAGTTGGCAAAAAAAGGATGCATATTAGAGTTTGATCAGTTTGGTTGGGGTTGTTCCATGGTGCATGCACTGTCACATGGTTTGGATTATCCAAGCGATTTTACTCGGTGTCACATGATCCGTGAATTAAGGGATTATGGGTTTCTAAAACAGGTAGGTGATGCTCCACTTTTAACAGGCATGTAATCATTTCATTCATGTGCGGTATTCACGCAAATTGTAATCAAACCATTCATACATTGTTCTCTGTAGGTTGTTATGTCTCATGACATTGCATTCAAGACACGTCTTGTTAAATATGGAGGGGAGGGGTATGAATACCTGTTGAAGAATATTGTACCATTTATGCTGAAACGAGGACTGACACAGGATGATGTTAATACAATGATGATTGAAAATCCAAAAAGACTTCTAACTGTGCAGTAAACATCCAGCATTACTTTTACTTATCCCCCTCTATATTATGTGACCTCCCTCTATATTATGTGACCTCCCTCTATATTATGTGACCTCCCTCTATATTATGTGACCTTCGCATATACCATGCTACTGTTGTACCTTACCTGTAATATTATTTACACAATAATAAACGCAGGAAATCTCGTCTTAAATCTTCAAAGAAGTAGGTTTTATGATAAACTGTTTTTGAACTTCATTGATCATTGTGAGGCAGTGATTTAACCACCCGGCTAAAGTGAAGGTGTGACCTGCGTACGAAAGAATGGCCCAGCTCAAAAAATCACAGAATGTAAAATACATTTAATTATATTCCCAGACGAGTCGTTCTAAATCACTTCAATCTAAATATTTTATGAAAGAACTAGATAAATCTGTTATTTGGACTTTTAATCAGTATTGTGAAGAAATTAAACAGTCTATTCAAAATGTGTTTATTAAAAATTGCAGATTGAAACACTAGAAAAATATATTCAAAACGATTTTGTGTAACCTTACTGGTTTGTTGTACAAGTCTGTGATGTGCGTTTTTACATTTGGGCAGTAAAATTACTAGAATTCGTAAATTATTTAAAAAACATCCTGAAGACTTATTTATGCCATATCTACAATCACTGAAAAAAAGTAAAGAAATCCAATGAGTGTCCACGGAGTAGTTCTCTTTTAATTGACTGAGTTTGCACTAGTATTGAAATGTTTGAAATGGCTAATGGTGATTCCTGTTACGTTGTACAAAGACGATTAACATAATAATAATAACTTTATTACACTACTAGGGCGCAGTATGGTAAATAAAATACAAATCATAAAAACATACAGTAGCTAAACTATAAAATAAAATTAAAATTAAAAGATGTTAATAGCTCAATAGAAAAGGTTAATTACAGGATTCTCCCAATGTAGAGGTGATCGCTATCATATACCTGATTTCTGTTTTGCTTTATTTAGAAACTTTGCCAGGGGTATAAAGCATGTCATTATTTTAATGAAATTGTCTGTTTTATTTAGTTTATTTTTAATTCCTATTTCTTGAAACAGCTCTCCTCTTTCTTTATCGAGAAACTCACAATCTAGAATAAAATGTTGTTCGTCCTCAACTGAATTTGTATGACATTTTTTCCAAAATCGCTTTTTCGCATGAATTTTTGTTCGTTGTTGTCTGCTTCTTTCAATTTCTAAATTGTGATCTCTAAGCCTAAATTTACTCACAATTGTTATTTCGGTTACATTACGTATTGGCCGACAGTATCCTACTCGGTCGAAAAATGTTACCACCTTTCCTAAAAAAGCGCCCCTTGTAAGTTACCTATTGATATGCTAATTTTTGTATATTTGTCCACCAGTGTTATGACCTTGGTTAGCTAACTCTGTATAATCTCTGCTGTGTTCAGAGTTGAATACGAGACTGTCCTGTTGGTTGTATACACATTGTAAAACACTCTCTATACAACATTTGTAACCCTTACTCATTTCCCAAACACTGTATTTTTTGTGGAGAACTTAGACGTCTATGACATTATAAAGGTTTTAGGATTGTCGAATTTACTTGGCTGAATTCTTTAGTGGTCTGAGGCTGAATCAATGAGATCACAGCTGTCTGGTTGAATCATGCAGTTAAAACAGAAACGCATTCAGGGCACTTCTTTAAAATCCAATAATCAATTAACATCGTTTTACGGCAAAAAAAGAAACAAGTGGCGAAGTTCTACGAAAATGTTCCTGGTTATTCAATATGCAACGGGAACGTAATCCCACATTTTCGTTGAAACGTTCTTTTTATTCATTGCGATCGTGCATTTTATGCACCACACAAGATTCATTAACTACGATCATATTTTGATTGATATACATGTATGAGGCATAAATATTTACGGTGCAAACTTCAACGTTAAGTGGCGCGAACGCTCAGACGACGGGAATTGCCGTCGATTTTTGTTTTACTTCATTCGGTTGTGTACACTTCAGATTTTATGTATACTGTATGTGACATACAAACACATGGTGTCACCGAGTACTGTCACTGCTACCGTAATAACAATCTTAGTTCTAATAATTACTGAGGCTTTTATTAAGAAAAGGGAAGTAGCCAAACTGTGAATAAATGCATGCTTATTCTATTCATTCTCATTCTCATTGAGTGCCATTTTCACACTTTTTTCACTCCCGTTTATAGATCACGTATGGCCGATTTCCTTGACGGGACTTATCTATGCGAGTTCCAAAGTGATTGTAGTTAATATAGGTCTGACACAATTACCCAAAATTTAATTTCATTCGACTGGATTTTATTATATCACTGCCCGGGATGTAGTAGTCCATATGGGCGCAGGCTACACTTCAGGAGGGAATACAGTTATCGAGAGGTAGATAATCAATTCATAGCCTTGTTGGAATCAAGAAATTGTTATGCATTGACGCAACCCGAATCTATTTCTTTATTCTGATGTTGTCACCTGATATATACCATCTCAATGTCATAGTATTCATGTCGATAGAATGGGCTTAGCAACTAAAATGTTTCCAATGCAGAATTTCTTAAATCTCGTGATTAATAACGCTTTGCTCCAAGGATCCTTACATAATATGTCTATTTTAAACAACTCACATAAGTTACGAAAACGGACCATATTATCTATGAGCGGGATAGCTGGCAAATAGGATGGATGCTACGACTGTGGCAACGTTATGAAAAATATACTGGATCGTACCTTTTTTTAAAGATAAGCCAGCACTTTCACTCGTGCTTGATAAATGTTAGTACTATTATCACTAATTCTCTAATAAATCACAGATAATAAAAACGTGCAATGCCGCGCCTTCATAGAAGATGCAAGGTGCCTCCCTGCTGATTTTAACCAATAGCCCAGAATTGCTGAAATGCTGCTGTCGACAAAGATAAAAATGGTAAAAAAAATAGCTGTAATTTCGGTCATTCTTTGCGTTACAAAATGCTGCCAATCCGTGGACGAGATCGCATATAACATAGTGGTGAAGCCTTTATGCTCGAACTTGGGTTGCTTGAAGTTATGGGAATGACATGGTATGATGTAATACTGTTTTGATGGTTTTAGCATAGACGAGCTATTCTATGGTTATAAATACAACTCTGCCGTGTTACTAATAATTCGGACAACTAATTTATTTAAATTTATTAGTGATCTAATGGCCCAAGTTATATACCATGAGAGATATAATATTAGACCGCAGTTCTCTATACACTGCGAAACAACATAATGCCGCAGGCCATCAGCGTTCTTGATTGTGACAAGATTGTCACCGCCGAAAAGAGGGTGCGCTAGCAGTATGGTGATGCATAGACGATGTTTGAAGCTGCCGTTACAGCTTCCTGTGTGGTATAACGCTCTATAACTACGTTCAGATCAGCTCATACGATGTCATACCTCATTCAGGCATGTATTTTACGACTCGTATTTTGTGTGTACATTAAACTTTCAAACAGACAGTTAACCCTGTCAGTGACTAACAGCGTGTTACAGAAGTGCGGTTAAAAAAGTTAGGTTTGTGCAATCTCAGACCACTACTAATATCGGATTAGTAGCAATATCAGATACTAAACTTTTCATTGGAATAAAAATAGCGTTGTTTCCGAATGAAACTTGTGTGCCAAGTTGTATAGTAATGCGTTATTTATGTTGTAACCACTCACTGATACCCCGATGCCGTGACACGTTCCGATGCGCATGCTATGCGTAAACAAGAACAAGAATATCTTCCTGTTTCTGTTTTTCCGTGCCGACCAATGTCAAAGCAACAGTTTGGCAAGTATTTCGTTCATGATTAAACCTTGTAATATTTTAATTGCCTGCAAAAATAATGAAACAATCTCGAAATATATTTCATTGGAAACTTAGAGCACACAACGCTGGGATGGACTAAAGTTACGTAACTTGATAAAGTCTCTGAACTATGCTATCAGTGATTATTTGTTCAGTGCCCAATCCAACGCAACTTTTTCACACCTATGGTGGGGATTAACAGATAAACGCACCCCAAAATTGTGGGGTAAGTACCGAGTAGTATATCGTCGGCGTAGTTATAATGTAGGTAAGTTTCTATTTTCAAAAACGATTTAAACATTTTATATGTTCTCATTTTATTGCCATCTTTACCATTTTTACTGTGAGGAGAATTTAAGCTTTCTTTCCATAATTTTTCATAATCTTTTGTGAGTAACATAATCTGTGTTTGCTTGTTTGAGTGTGTTCATGGAGCTAAAAAAATAGCTCCATGGTGTGTTCAAGTGTTGTCCCTATTAACAACATTTGCTTTTGTTGCTGTGTATTTTTGTTGAGGGACTAAGCTGTAGCTTACCGCTCCCACATCGAACACAGACGGCTCGCTTCAACAGTTACGGCATGTCGAAATCCACAAATCTCAAGGACCCATCGACACTATGAGTTTCAATTTACTGGTCCGAATCCGGGGAATGCGATAACCACAATCTCGGTAGCGAAAGTTTGTCAGCCGACACGGTGTGTCTTCGCTGTCAACATCCTTCGTCGCGACACGCATGCGCGAGATATATGGGTCTCATATAAACCTCAGACTTGTAATTGTATTACTAGTCTGAGTATAAACAAAGATTGCGACTTTGACTGTTGCGCAGATCACGGGTACTAATTGAGACGTTACCGGCGGTAGTTAGTGCGAGACACGCTCGGGGCAAAACTCGTACTCGTGATTTCCATTAGAAAACGCATTGGATTGTGGGAAAATCAATGTTTATCAACACAAATGTCGCACATGCGCGGCGCGACGACCATCGCCTTTTCGGAATACGACCTTTGCTTTCGTGCCAGGTACGCCATTCTCTTTGCTCATTCGTAATACGTTTTTTTTTACACGCGCATGTGTATTGTTTTTCAATGTTTCTTTTCTACTGAATCAGCTATTTATTTTTGTTGTGGTATAAAGTCATGTGACACGACCACTTTCAGACTCACTTGCCAAAAAAAACTATATATGTCTTCGGGGTGAATTTTGACAAAACAATGTAACCAATCCCGTCATGAATACAGTAAGCATTCATTTTTATAAAAAAGTAAAATTAAGTACTAATAGACCCTTCATAAATTGTAACTCTGTATAGAGGCGTTTTGATTGAGTTTAATTGAATTAAATTCAAGATTGTAGAATTAACCTTATATATCCCACCCCCGGTATATCCCTTTTTTGACATGTTTCACCGAACTATATTTTTACCAAACGCTTCAGCGTGGTATTAAGAGTTTGTTTTCAGGGGTGGATGATACCAAGGTGGGAAATGGATGCACATATGGGGTTAATTCCTTGAATTGCAATATAGAGGGTTCAGGCTGAAATACAATATATAGTGTTTTCATGTTTCGTCTGATATTTCTGTGGTATTCTGCTGCTGTAAGTAATGCACGATTTGTTCCGAAATTCAGTATATTGTGTGTATTCCAGGGTTATTCGTTTTTTGCTGAAAACACCCCTATTTTTTAGTGGCAGAGTTTGAATAGTCTCACTCCCACTGGGAAATCTGCATTGTTGCTTGAATGCGAGTTAATTAAACACATTTTCCAGACCGGCGAAAGAGTATGCAACAGCCAATTTTAACAGCCTGTCACGTGATTTTAGTC